CCGCATTTTGCTGGGTTCTAAGGTATTCCGCCGTGTCATTCAGGTTGGATTGCAATGGATGCTCTCGTTGTATAACAACAAATTAAATGGGATCTTGGCTGATGAGATGGGTCTTGGAAAAACTGTGCAGGTTAAGTCTGCTCTCAGTTTTCAGGGATTCCCTGATTTACTGTACTTTCCCTTTGGAAAGCAATGCATTATATTCTGTCGGCATTATATTCTGATTGTTTTCGGTCTTCCCGTGTAGGTAATGGCATTGATTGCTTACCTTATGGAGTTCAAGGGGAACTATGGACCACATCTCATCATCGTTCCCAATGCTGTTTTAGTGAATTGGAAGGTTTGTGTTTTCTGTTACAACTTGGCTATAAATTTTCACAGAAATCATAGAACCAGTGGTTAGTCGAGTGTCTCGAGACCTCCAGTCTCCAACTCATAATTACTAGTGGCTTTATCCATTATTTTTTTTTAACTCGTACTCTAGCTAGATAGCTGTTAGTTGTCGAGATATGATACTTATCAGCATTTGCTACTTTTCTCGAATTCTATCTGATAATTTATACAGGGTTAACGATTTTTTTTTTGTTTGCAGAGTGAACTCCATACTTGGCTGCCATCTGTTTCATGCCTATATTATGTTGGTACAAAGGATCAACGTTCAAAATTGTTCGCTCAGGTAAATATCTGAAAAAGTTGCATTTGATCTTTTGTTTTGAAATTTGTTGATTGACACATACCCTGGTCTCTTAAACACAGGAGGTTTGCGCCATGAAGTTCAATGTCCTCGTTACTACTTACGAGTTCATTATGTATGATCGGTCAAAACTCTCAAAAGTTGACTGGAAGTATATAATAATTGATGAAGCTCAACGGATGAAGGACAGAGAGTCTGTTTTGGCCCGAGATCTTGACCGGTACCGCTGTCAGAGGCGATTACTTCTCACTGGAACACCTTTACAGGTTGGTAACGGTATAGCTACAAATTAGGGACATCTAACGAATTAGGGATATGAGTTGTTCATATTATGTTAAGTTTCAAATAGAGTATTCTTATTCTGCTTTTATTCAATCTTGTAGAACGACCTCAAAGAGCTTTGGTCACTATTAAATCTCCTCCTCCCTGATGTCTTTGACAATCGAAAAGCATTTCATGACTGGTTTGCGCAACCCTTTCAAAAAGAAGGTCCTGCTATAGAGGATGACTGGCTGGAAACTGAGAAAAAGGTTATTGTCATTCACAGGCTTCATCAAATTCTAGAGCCTTTCATGCTTAGACGTCGTGTTGAGGATGTTGAAGGTTCACTTCCCCCTAAGGTAGGATCTGTCGTATATAGCTGCCATTATATTTTCACCTAGATGATTCGTCTGATAATGCTTTCGGTTACAGGTTTCCGTAGTTTTACGATGTAGAATGTCTGCTATTCAGAGTGCTGTTTATGATTGGATTAAAGCTACTGGAACTCTAAGAGTTGATCCAGATGATGAAAAGCTTAAGGCTCAGAAGAATCCGATCTACCAAGCCAAGATGTACAAAACTTTAAATAATAGGTGCATGGAGTTGAGGAAAACATGCAATCATCCTTTGCTCAATTATCCATACTTCAATGATCTTTCCAAGGATTTTCTCGTAAGGTCATGTGGAAAACTGTGGATTCTGGATAGAATACTTATAAAGCTACAGAGGACAGGCCATCGGGTATTGCTCTTCAGTACGATGACGAAGCTCCTTGATATCTTGGAAGAGTATTTGCAGTGGAGGAGGCTTGTATACAGAAGAATTGATGGGACTACCAGCCTAGAAGATCGGGAATCAGCTATTGTGGATTTCAATGATCCTGATACTGATTGTTTTATTTTCCTGCTTAGTATACGTGCAGCTGGAAGGGGTCTCAACCTTCAGACTGCTGACACAGTTGTGATATATGATCCGGATCCAAACCCTAAGAATGAGGAACAAGCAGTTGCCAGAGCCCATCGTATTGGGCAGACAAGGGAAGTGAAAGTCATTTATATGGAGGCAGTTGTTGAAAAACTTTCCAGCCATCAAAAGGAGGACGAGCTTAGAAGTAGTGGTTCAGTTGACCTAGAGGATGACTTGGCTGGGAAGGACAGGTATATAGGATCTATTGAGGGTCTCATAAGGAATAATATCCAACAGTACAAGATCGACATGGCTGATGAAGTCATTAATGCTGGGCGTTTTGACCAAAGGACGACTCATGAAGAGCGGCGTATGACATTGGAGACTTTATTGCATGATGAAGAGAGGTATCAAGAGACCGTCCATGATGTACCTTCTCTCCATGAGGTGAACAGGATGATTGCCAGAAGCGAGGAGGAAGTTGAGTTATTTGATCAGATGGATGAAGAATTTGACTGGACCGAGGAAATGACTTCTCATGAGCAGGTGCCTAAGTGGCTTCGAGCTAGTACCAGAGAGGTGAATACTACCGTTGCTGATTTGTCTAAGAAACCGTCAAAGAACATGTTATCAAGCAGTAATCTGATCGTGCAAACTGCTGGGCCTGGAGGTGAGAGAAAAAGGGGGCGGCCCAAGAGCAAAAAGATTAACTACAAGGAAATAGAAGATGACATTGGAGGATACTCTGAGGAAAGCTCTGAGGAAAGGAACATTGATTCTGGGAATGAAGAAGAGGGAGACATTGGAGAATTTGATGATGATGATGATGAACTACCTGGTGCTCTTGTTAATCACCAAACCAACAAGGGCGAATCTGATGGAGAGAACCCCGTCTGCGGTTATGATTATCCTCCGCGGTCGGCTGGTTATAAGAAAATTACTCCACGGAAGGATGCTGGTTCTTCAGGATCTTCGCCAGAAAGTCATAGATCGAAAGCGATGGCTTCTCCGGTTTCTTCACAAAAGTTTGGCTCTTTGTCTGCAATGGGAACTAGGCCAGGTTCTGTCTCAAAAAGAATGGTAGGCACCTGATCTTGTCTCGCAGGCCTCTCTTCTTCTTTGTAGTCTGTGTAAATTTTTTTAGTGTAATTATGTTGAACAGGTGGATGATACAGAAGATGGGGAAGTAGCAGCATCAGGGGATTCTCACATAGATCTCCAACGCTCAGGAAGTTGGGCCCATGACCGTGAAGAAGGGGAAGAACAGGTTTTGCAACCTACAATAAAACGGAAACGGAGTATTCGTCTAAGACCCCGTCAAACAGCAGAAAGAACAGACGGTACTGATATGCCTGCAGCTCAGTCATTGCAAGTCGATCGTAGCTATCGATCAAAATTGAGGACAGTTGTTGACTCACATGGTTCAAGACAAGAACAGAGTGATTCATCCTCGAGACTTAGGAGTTTACCTGCAAAGAAAGTAGCTATTACTTCCAAGCTGCATGTATCATCACCAAAATCTGGTAGATTGAATGCCACACAGCTTGCCGTGGAAGACAACACTGAAGCTACCAGAGAAACATGGGATGGAACAAGTCCTATTGGCTCTTCTAGTGCAGGTGCAAGAATGTCCCCCAACATACATAAACGGGTATGTTCTGTCAAATGGAATAAGATTTTGCACTCTTATATCGTCGTCCGTACATCTACTTTGTTTTGTTGGTTCGAATTTACTCTTTACTGACCTGTGCAGTGCAAAAACGTCATTAGCAAACTCCAAAGGAGAATCGACAAGGAAGGTCAGGAGATTGTGCCAATGCTGACAAATTTGTGGAAGAGAATTCAGACTGGTTATGCAGCTGGAGGCGTAAATAATCTTTTGGAACTGCGAGAGATAGATCACCGGTTAGAAAGACTAGAGTACGCAGGGGTTATTGAACTCGCATCTGACGTGCAGTATATGCTAAGGGGAGCAATGCAATTCTATGGATTCTCTCACGAGGTTTTAATTTTTGTTACTTCGGATTTTGTGTGTTTGATATATATATATATAAGCGAAATGGATTTAGTGTAAAGGTGACTAAATCTTCCGCAGGTGAGATCTGAAGCAAGGAAGGTTCACAACCTGTTCTTTGATCTGCTGAAGATGTCTTTTCCGGACACAGATTTCCGAGAAGCAAGGAATGCTCTTTCCTTCTCTGGCCCAACGCCAACTTTGGTATCCACACTGTCCCCAAGAGCAGCAGGTATTAGTCAGGGTAAGAAGCAAAAGCAGGTAAATGAGGAGGAACCAGAGCCAAGCTCTCCTCAGAGACCTCATCAACGCGAGAATGCAAGGATCAGAGTACAGATACCTCAGAAAGAAACAAAGCTCGGCGGGACATCAAGCCACACCGACGACTCTCCAGTTTTAACTCATCCAGGGGAACTAGTAATCCGCAAGAAGAAGAGGAAAGACAGAGAAAAGTCTGCTCCGGGAACCCGAACTGCTGGCCGCTCCAGCAGCCCGGTGTCACCTCCAGCTATGGTAGGTCGTGGTCTTAGAAGTCCTGTGTCTGATTCAGTTACAAGGGAGACAAGGCTAGCTCAGCAGCAACGATGGCCAAACCAAGCCGGCACTCATCCCAACAACAGCGGTGCGGCTGGTGATTCAGTGGGATGGGCTAATCCGGTTAAGAGGTTAAGGACTGATTCTGGTAAAAGAAGGCCGAGCCATTTGTAGACAGATTAAACCTCTTTTATCCTTAGTTCTTAAAAGGTGAAAGCAATCTAGTAAACAAATAATAATATTCTCCTTTCGTTGGTATGTTGGTATTTAGAAGAATATGTCCTTTTGTCAGCAGTATCCTCCCATCTTTAGATATGTTGATGTATAAAAAAACGGATATTGGAGGATTAGAACAAACAAGATGAGATATTGAATCAATGTTTTATTGTTGTAAGATTGTGCAAATTGTTTTATTTACATTTGAAGCAAAGATAGTTTCAATGATCCTAAAGAATTAAAACAAGTCTTTACACATTTACAGAGGAAAGCTTCTTTATCTCCTCCCATGCAATGAACATCAATGGTTCTTTATATTTTCGGAAATGAACTAATTAAAATACAAGGAAATATTTTGATTTTGTAACGAAGTCATCAAGGATCAGCTTTTCCAGCAATTTCATCGTTGTCATCAACAGAGTCTGAACCACGTTCACTCATGCTATCATCATCATCGTCATCACTTGAGATCTCCTCGGGTGCTCCTATGTCCTCTGGTTTAGCATATCTCTTGCAATATTCTTCAAATGTCAAAGATAACAAAATGTGTTACTGAGGTCTAATAGAGAAGCAAATTTGGAAAAAGAGTGGGAAAAAAGCAGTTGGGTTTAAACCTTTGACTTTGAGGTCGTAGGCAGGACGGTCTCGCATCAAGAGAGAGGCAGCTTCACCATTGAAAGGATCAGATGGGTTTGGATATAGAAGCAGTTGGGGAAGGAATGACTCGAACACATTGATAAGATCTGATCAAACAAACACAGATTCAAGTTTTAACGGATGCAAATACAATCATCAAGGCATTCAGAAAGACACAGAGAAAACATATATTACCAAACATTGGGCTCCATGTCTGGTTTATTACATCTAAGCAAACTGCGCCGGAACTGCCAAAAAACATGAGAACCATAATAGCGCTTTAGATATGGAGTCTACTTTGATAAAAAGGATAAAGCTCTCTGTGACTTACGACTCATCAACATTGGGGTGATAAATCTTGTTGACAAAACCAACAGAAGGAGATTTGTAAGGATAAGCATCAGGAAGTTCCACTTTGATCTTCCATACACCTCCTTCATAAAGACCTTCTCACACAACACAACAACGAAGATAAATGCACTTAAAATCTATCGTTTTTCAATCAAACAGATTCATCTCTGCTCCTATGAAGATTATATACATAGATGGTGAATCTGAAGTTGTACAGACCAAATCTACTAAGAGCATAAAGACCAAAAAAAAAAAGGAAAGAGAGACAGAGAGAGTTTGGGGAGGGATTACTGTCAGTGGGGCCATGGAAAGTGACATAGAACATATGCACATCGTCGTTGATTGTATCCACCTTGTAATCACTCATCATCCTGAACATTTACACAACAATAAGAAAGAAGAAGAAGCAATATATAAATAAGAAGAGATGATCATCATCAACAGATCCAATTGGATGAAGTAGAGAATTGAGCAACATACAATTTCATCATGTCCATCTCTCGGCGTTTGCTTGGCGAAGCCATGTCCGATTCTCTCTTCTTCTTCTTCTTCTTCTTGGTTTGATAGAGAGAGAGAGAGAAAATAAAATGATTCGAAATGTAAATATGAGCACATGAAATGGACATTTCTTTATATCATCTGTCCTTTTTTTTATCTTTTTTTGTTTGTTACTCTTTTCTATATAAAAACACTTTACCATAAGGTTACTCTTTTAATTAAGAAACAAATACGTTACTCTTTTATTTTTTAAAAACATGAATATCTGATAATTAACTAATTATATCACAACAAGCCAACAAATTTGGGCAAATTAATTACACATTTAGTTATATTTTACCTTTTTGAACAAAAAAAGCAGATCATATCATTTTCTCCTATTTATTCTGTTTTCAAATATTAGATTGCTATTCTTTTTAGGACGTCTAATCTGTAGAAAATCTTCTATTTTCATATTCAATTACCCGAATAGTAGAGATGTTTGATAATTGTTTATCACTGCAACAATAAAAAATAGGATGTTTCCTTGTTTTCTATTTTTCTTGTTTTTGTTATATATCTATGAGTTAATTGGGTGGAAAACAAAGAAAGAAATGTAAATTAGCAAAATACCAAAAAAGAAGAAAGTAGAAGCTACACGGCGATGTGAATGACGATAATGCCTTATCCGGATGAAAATTCTCTTTCCCGTCTAGGATGCTATAGTATAGCCGTTCTGACACAAGATTGCTATCTACTGAAGATTTGCAAAGTGGATATAAAAATATTTGCAAAGATATGTTCTAGATTTTTTTTTGTTCTCGAGAAGGATTAATAGTTAAATTAACATGTAAAATTCATTTCTATGGTCACATATTTACTAACAGAAATATAATTCAATATCAAATCCTTTGGAAAATTTGGTCGCGTATATGGTTGTCATTCTTTAGCTAACTAATTAATATAAATATCTGTAATTTAATCAAATATATGGTTATACAATTTAGAATACAAGCACGGATTAATGACATGGTCCAAGCAATAGGATCCGTCAACAATAATTAGATGAATATTTACAAAAATAACCGACTAATCTAATAAGTTACCGTATCAGATGTATCTTAACCGGTTAATCTAATAAGTTTACGTGTTTGATGTTTTGTAACCGGCTAATCTAAATTGTATAAATAAATTATTAGATGTCCAGTTTTCCTCGTGAATGGCTACCACATTTTTTTGAATGACTAACGCATTTAATGAATAACTAACAGGAATTCGGCAAAAAAAAAATACGAACTTTGCACGAATTGCCAAAAGAAACCTGTACATATGGACTGGAAAAAAAACACTATACTTTTATTGATTTTTTAATTTTATTAAGAAACTTTTGATTTACTGGCCAATTTGGCACACCGTTAGCAGAGTTAACGGATTTTTTTGACAGCATTAAATCTACGTTAAATTTGGGCGTTATGATGAAACGACGTCGTTTTATGTGTTTTTGTTTTTAAAAATAAATTGTGAAAACGTGTTCCAAGGGATTCAAACTCGTGCACTTAGGGATAATGGTAGGGGATTTACCAATGGGCTAATGGACTTTACATTACATTGACGAATATAGTTGTTTTTAACATTCTTTCATCCGAGTTAAATGAAAATAAAAAGGTGTAGACACCTAATATACTTTACCATGGGTTAATAGGGTCAAATGACATGGTACTTTACCACTAGGATAAAGATACTTTAATGTGAAAACGTGTTCCAAGGGATTCAAACTCGTGCACTTAGAGATAATGGTAGGGGATTTACCACATGGCTAATGGACTTTACATTACATTGACGAACAGAGTTGTTTTTAACATTCTTTCATCCGAGTTAAATGAAAATAAAAAGGTGTAGACACCTAGATTTGAACATGGGTTAATAGGGTCAAATGACATGGTACTTTACCACTAGGATAAAGATACTTTAATGTATTCACAAACATATTTAGTTTTATTGAGTACTTATTGAATAAAAAAATCTCTAAAAACCTTAAAAATACCTTTAAATTACAAAAAATTAAAAAATAAAGAATTTTTTTTATAAAGTTAATTTTGAAATTAAAATTTAAAATACAATTTCATTTTTCTTTTAAAAAATCAAAAATCTTCCAAAATTTTCATTTAAAATGAAAATGCTTAAATTAATTATTGTACCCATTATGAGTGCGATTTTAATTTTAAGCTGATAATTGTAAATTTAATTTTCTTGCATTTTCTAAATTTTTTGGATTTGTTTTAAATTTTTCGATTTTTTTCCTTTTTAGTAAAAAAAAAGTTATTTATAATTAAACTTTCTTGAAAATTTTGGAAGATTTTTATTTTTTTTTTATAAAGAAAAAAATGAAATTTTATTTTTAATTTTAATTTAAAATTAATTTTATAAAATTATCTTTATTTTTTCAATTTTTCGTAATTTTAACGGTATTATTAAGTTTATTAGAGATATTTTATATTCAATTATTACTCAATAAAAGAAAATATGTTAGTGAATACAATTAAAGTAACACTAGCACAGTGGTAAAATACCATGTCATTTGACTTAACTCGGGTTCAAATCCAAAGGTTTTCTTTTATTTTCGAATCATGTAAAACGACGTCATTTCATCTTATTTGAAAACGACGTCGTTTCACTTAATGGTAAGATTTAACGTCAATTTAACACTGTCTAAACTGTGAATTAACGGTGTGTCAAATTGGTCAGTCAATCAAAATTTTTTTAATAAAATTAAAAAGTCAACAAAAGTATACTATTTTTTTTTGCCAGGGTCGAGTACAGGTTTCTTTTGGTAATTTGTGCAAAGTTCGTGTTTTTTTGGCCGAATTCCCAATAACTAACTAATATATTAGATATAAATTACTATATCCCTACGCCCAATAGGTTTAACCATAAACCGAAACCCCTACTCCAACAGTCTATGATATAAGATTGCTTGCTAATTTTGTAGTTGCATGTGTAACTTGTTTGATAACTTGTTAATGATAATGAGAAACCCAATTTTTAGTTATCCGAAGTTCAATGTTATAATATTATAATTTTGCTGACTACCCATTAAATAAAATTTACGGCTAATAGTTTTACGAACTGGTAATAAATTTAATTATCGACCCAAACAGAGACATCGCAGGTTCCTCGACTCAAACTCCTGAAAATCATTATATCACCACTGGAATGACCCATCATCATCTTCATCTCTTCTTTATGCATATTCAGAATCTGGTTTGGCTCTCTCCTGAAAGGTGTTGTGTGATTCACTGCTTTTGGTTATGTGTGTGGTAAAAGCTTACTTATGAAAAATCTTTTGAAACTTATAAAGTATGTCCATGAAAAAACAAAACACATAGAAGCTTCAGTTACCAAGATTTTATAAAGAGTAGAACTTGTCAACAACAGATCAAAAAAGAAAAAAATAATATGTAAATAAATGACCAAAAGAATTATTTTTCAAACTAAAGAGGACCGAGTGAGAGTTTAAATGTCTACCTATGAGAGAGTTTGAAAAAAAAATACAAAGATGTAGAATTGATAATAATATGATCTTAGAAGAAGATATGCGTACAATAATAAGATATACCCAAACCTTTAGCAAGATTTTGTCTAGGTGAGAGATGGTCAATTTACCGGTTTACGGTCAGGAGAGAGGTTGGGCTTGAAGGGGTAACAGAGTAAAAGTACGCTATCAACAGTTACACTTTTTTGGGGTTTTGGTATATCGCCAATTAGTGGATCTTCCTTTGGTAGGGCTCCTAATTTCACTATATCTATTATCTTACTTTTAAATTACTATATTTTTTAAAGGTTGATAGTTGATTAATGTACGTTCCAGTCGGAAAAAAAATTGCACTTGGTTTTAGTGGATTGAACCCTTGTTCAAAAACGCGGCATCCGCGCCCGACTTTCCGGTGAGTAAACGTGAAGTGGCTCTCCACCGTCGCGATTTGCTCCAAATCGGATAGTTAGGCGGAATAACACAATTTTTTTTTTTGGCTATTTTGAAGTTCTAAATCTATTTGTATTAACAAATCTATAGTTCTCATGTGTAAACAACAACTAAAACACAAAAAAATGAAGTTTCATAAAAAAAAATCCATGGCGGCCGCGAAATAAGTTATAGAATGACGAAACCCTAATATAAGGACAGTGGTTTAATTACAAAACTGCCATTCTGTAAAAGATACATTAAAAAAAGAGCAAAACTGACTAAAGTGGGTTCGAACCCGGGCCTGGCCTTTATCAAACAAGACATCAGACATTGAACTACATAACTGAGGATTTTTTTATTTTCTTGTATAGACAAAAATGATAAAATCGGTAAATAATATATTTACTTGCACCATTTACATTTATGATTTAACCGGTTAGATATATAATAATTCAAGACACTGGGGTATATGGTGACCGTGTTTTCGTTAAATCAAAATTTAATTAATTAAGCAAGATAACCAACTAACAATTAGTGAGCTAATTATTCAATCGTATACAAATCAAATTCTTAGCTCATTATTATTCTAGTTTCCATTTATGTGGGAGACGCAATGGCGGATCGGAGAAGGAAGGGATCGTAGGCGTAGAAGAAACATGGCGGCTACGAATTTAGTGAGGCTTTCAGCTGATTTCAGTGATCTGCTTTGAGCATTCCAGTCTTCGGTTCGGGTTCAAATCGGTTCCTTTCGACATATTCTTTTGGATTTTAAAATTTTAGACATAATAGATATATGTAAAGTTTTGGTTCGGGTTCGAGTCATTTCTTCTCAGGTCTAGATCGGTTCAGATCTATAATTAAAATAGTTGTAAAATACCTAGAATATTCCGGTTCGTTTCAGGTTCAAGTCGGATCCAGATATTAAAGATATGAAATACACAAATTACATCAAATTTAGTTAAAATCTATCATACATATCTATAATTTAAAAATATAACTTAAAATAAAATATTAATAACTAAAATAAAACCTTTTTAAACTTTAGATATAAAATTCATATTACTTGAAAATATTATAAAATAATAACAAAGATTTAAAAAAAAATATTTCCACTATACATAAAATAAAATATAGAAAATAGAACACAAAAAAATTATAGTTTTGGATATTCATGTTATTAAGTCGGGTATGAATCGATTCTTATCGGTTTGGGTCTATTTGGGTAGGTTCTTTTCGGTTTCGGGTATATTCGAGTCGATTCTTTTCGGCTGGATCTATTCGGATCGGTTCTTTTGGGTAAAAAAATTTAGATCCAATAGATACTTACAAATTTTTGGTTCAGTTTGTCAAATATTTAAAGATTAATTTCGGTTCGAGTTTTCGGATCTGGGGTAAAATAATTTGTTCGAATGATTTTTTAGTATAATTGTGTTTAATTTTGTCGACTGATAAAGTGCGTGCCTCAAGTGACCAAGAAAAATCTAGGTTGCATGGAAGCTTCGTCATACGTCCGCTTTCCGTTTCGGAACCGGAAACGGAAACGGAAGCTTGTGGAATCTCTCGGAATCTCGATTCCAATGCATTTCCAAAAAAATCTTGTTATAAACACATTGAAACTTATGATTCCATTTTGGAATCACGCTTCCGTTTTAAAAGATACAATGTCATAAGTAAATAAAAATATAAGAAACATTCGTTTTGTTTTTATATAATAGTGAAACAAAGAATATAAATATACAAATATTAAAACTAATACTATAAATTATCTTTATGCATTGAGGATTTATTATATATATATTTTATATATTCCAATAGATTGTGTTAATTATTTACGAAATATTAAAAAATAATTAGTATAATAATATCTTATAAACTTGATTTATGTATATTTTCACGGTTTTAAAATAAAATCATTTAAAATTATTATAAATGAATAAATGTTTTATTTTAAATTTGACTCTAATAATTTCCTGTCATATTTGTAATTTTTATATTTTAATGTGTATATAAATATACGCTTCCAACACGTTTCCGCTTCCTAATTTTTTAAAAAATCTTGTTTCTACGCTTCCATACGATTCTGCTTCCCTGTATGTGCTTACGTTTCCATTTAACATAGAGAAAAAGATAATTATTATTATTATAAGACTAAAAGCCTTCAATATCTCCCAGTTCGGCGGCTTTTAGAATCTTACAGAACAAGTAACTAGTTTTGTCTTGTTTTCTCCGCCACAAACCATGTTTTTCAATCGCCTCTTTTCTGTTTCGATCCACCACCATGGCCGTTTTGTTAACATATCATCCCTGCCCTACCTTGACCGCCTTTCATCATCGTCCAAAACCGAATCGGATCTGTCTTCCATTCATAACAGAGTAATGATGCTTATCAAATTATCCAACCTCGACGCGGCGGCAGAGCAAGCACGTTTGGTCGTTTTGTCCAGAGGCTATGATCCCTGATTGACTGCAAAGACCGGCGTTGCTATCATTGACGCTATGCGTAGTGACCGACGGTACAGTGACGCATATGATTTGTTCCACCACTACAGTAGTAAGTGTAAATCGGATCTGATAACCAACCTATGCTCGAGTCCAATCATCATCGCCTTGTGTGATGAAGGGAAACTCGACAAGGCTCTTGAATTATACAAATACTTGTTGCGGGATCCTCGTCCGAGTTATCATGCAAAACTAGCCCTAGCTCTTGATGAAGCGATAGATAAGTTTTACTGCGTGGATAGGTCCGTGTATGGCATTTTCATACGTGGCTTCTTGGATTTGGGGAATCTTGAAAGGGCTAACCAGCTTTTTCAAGAGCTAAAGTTGAGTGACGACGCGGACGCTGTGGTGCAGGCGAGGGCGATGTTTATGGAGCATTGGTTTAAGCAAGAGATGGATGAGGAGAAAGCTATGGAGTGTTACTACTTGTCGTCCAAGAAAGATATCTACGGGACTGCTGAAAAATGCCGTTTTAAAAGTGTTGATAAGGTACGGTAAACAAAAAGAAGCTTGGTTATTGTTCAGTCAGATGCTGGAGCAGAGCAAGTACTACCTGGGAAAGTTTGATTCTGATTCGTGTAATATTATGGTGAATGAAAAAAAAAATGTTATGGTGAATGAGTGTTTCAAGCTCGAGAAGATTAGCGAGGCAGTTGAGATATTTCGCAAGTCTATTGGCACATGAGGAGTTCGTGATCCACAGTTGTGTTACAGGAACCTGATCAGCAGGTTTTGCGAACAAGAAAATCTTTTGTCAGAAGCAGAACAATTTTTTGCGGAAATGTGCTCTAGAAAGTTTTTTCTCCCTAATGTCCCAACATATCGAACGATGATGGATGCATATGTGAAGAAGGGTAGAGTCAATGATGCTGTAAAAAGTGTGAACCAAACTTTGGATGCCTCTCTAACCTATATTGCTAAGAAGGTCATAGTAGTGTAGTAACTTTTGTTGTCTTAGCAGTTGTTCCATTTCTGAATGAATAATTAAAGAAAAGTTTTTTTCATAATTATTAATGTCATAATTGATTTACAATTTACCGTCATTGTGATTGAAGTTATAGTATCCAATCTTTGTACTTTTGCAATACAATACTCAAGCTTAGAAAGGAAGGCAGCAAGTGATCGCCTCCAAGGGTAGAAGATGTATGATAGCCTAGATATGTAGGACTCAGAGCAATGTTCACGCCTCAAAAGGATTCCAAGACTAAAGGTTAAGAATGAGCATACTTAACTGACGAAACAGACGGAAGTGATCGCATGTTTCTTATACCTTTCACAGCCCAAAAAACTAGTGCTTAGGTGTGGTCGAGAACAATCGTCTACTGTGAAACAAAACGATACTGTTGTAATCACCAAGCAACCACATTGCATTTGAGTGGAAACACTCTGGTGAGGTCCTAATCCTATTCAAGCATTTTCTTTTTTGATCTGTCTAGCTGTATAGCACAGTTGACTTTATATTATTTTGATCTGTAACTTCCGCTAATGCCTTGTAAACAACATCAAAAAACAAACAAACATAAAAACATAAGTAATTCAGACAATATTTTAAAACAATTTGTTCATTGAAATGATCAACATTATTATAAACCAACAAAAAACATTAACTCCAAACAGATTAAATAAGTCCAGTGATATGCATTGAATTGTAGTGTTCTTGAAGCCCTCAGTGCTGGAGTAAACACGACCCCATACTTTTAACACTCAAATCCAACTGAGACCACATTCCTTCTGTTCAAATACCACGTTCCTACCAAATTCGACCTAGAGACTGCATAACTTGAGTCTTCAAGCAAGAGACACGTTAATTTTGTACCCAAAGTTCCGACGCTCAAGATCTTCCACTAAATGTGAAGCTGAAATCTTCATGCCTTATGCATCCATTCAAGAAAGCTGCAATGCAGATGTTATCAACAATGGTGAGGTTTCTGATGATTATCCCAAGCGCGTGAACCATATAACCCTTCGCGACGTATATCTCCACGATGCCACCAAGTACTTTTGGCACTAGTGGGATCTGGTAATGGTTCATCAGCTTGAACATGTTCATCCCGCCCCTTCCACGTTCATATTGTGGTGCTTAAAGGCAACAAGAAGAGCACTTAAGTTGGAGGCATCAGGGGCCCCCAACTTTAAAACCAATGCGAATACTGATAAAGCTTCTTTTGGGGAGGTATATGAAAATACATGCAGCATTGCACTTAATGACCGGTAAAACATATCCCTCGCTATGATCTGGATCACTTTTACCATATTTTTCCTTCTTTTCTCTGCATCTAACTCACTACCATATAGCGTAATCAGATTCCTGTGAAGTTGTGATTCAATGTCAAGTTTAATGCTAAGGAAATTGTTGACATAAGATGTTTGCCATGAAGTAGTCGACGACGTGTTGAGTGGTGAAGACTACGTGGAGTCAAGATGTTGAGCTGGAGTCGTGTAGATTTGGAGCTTATATAGTACATGATGAGTAGTATAAGAAATTAGATAAAACAAGTAAGAGCATAGAGCGAAGGTTAAAACTATACGCCAGACAGTACACTAAAATTTATACAAAGAGAATCTATTTTTTTTTTGCTATTAGGGGTTTTGAACACGAAAATGTTAATTTTTTGCTATTAGGGGTCTCAAATAGTTAGCTAAATATGTTACTTGTTTAGTAGAAGATAGAGTAAAGTTTGTGTGGCCAAAAAAGAGTGTTATCAATCAAAAAATTAAAGTTCATATATAGAAAATCGGCTTTTGTGCACAAAAGTTTATAAACTTTCTTTGTCTGTTATATGATAAACTCAAAAACTTGGGGGTTTGTTTCCAAATTTTTCCCAAACTTTGAAATGTTTGGGACCTTTAAACTAAAGAAAATAATTTAAACTAAACAATTGAAGCTGATACCAATTAGATAATTGTTAGCAGACCCATTCTTCTTATATGCCACTTTTAGGCACGTGAAAATAAATTAATCGACCCTTGTTTATATATTTCCTCATTGCTGATCCTACCGGTTCGTCCAGTTGTGTAATGTGAATGTTGAGCCACCGAAGATTGCGATTGGGAGAATTGATCATATTAATTAGACCCATGGCGATTCTAAAAGGTGCAGGTTTTTTATGAACACCCACCATTTGCTTCATAGTAAATCTAGAGATTACAGTTTCACATAATCGGTTTGTTTTGAAATTCTTTGGGTTCCTTGGGTTGGATACTTATTAGAACCGGTACAAGCTTTCAAATCTGTGAACCAAGTTTACTTTTTTTTTTTTTAGCACAAGAACCAAGTTTACTGCAAACTAAAGCCCAAAGTTCAGTTCTTACAAAACGTAGGCCCAACTGCAAGTGATGAAACTAGGGTTTCTTTATTATATGCTCTCCTTAAACGCGCTACAGAGAAGAAGGAACGATCTCTCATCGAAACAGTTAGTGGAAAACAGTGAAGAAGGAAACCCATAGTTGTCCAAGATGGGGCGTATGCATTCAAGAGGGTTCGTCTCTTTCTAATCATCTTCGTATCTATTTTTTTCGAATCAAGAGTTATGTTGGCTTTAATTGCTTCTTCTCATTTGTCTTTTATGTAGAAAGGGAATCTCTGCATCTGCTTTGCCGTACAAGCGTTCACCCCCGACTTGGCTCAAGACCACCGCTCTTGATGTAAGACTTTCTCATTTGGTGTTGTAAAGATCATAACTTTGGATATTAGCTTCAGTTGTATCTTGAATTGGTGTCGTAAAGACAAGAACTTTAGATATTAGCTTCATTTCTATCTTCCATTCTTGTCGTAAAGACAAGAACTTTGGATTATTATTTTTACTAGAACGCTTGCTTTCTAGCTTTGTAATATCTGCGAGAAGCAGTTTTGTTTTGTAAAGTCTTTATAACTTTTGAATATTTTTTTAAAACACATTTAAACAGGTTGATGAGTCAATATGTAAGTTTGCAAAGAAGGGTTTGACTCCATCTCAGATTGGTGTGATTCTTCGTGACTCTCACGGTATCCCTCAGGTCAAGAGTGTTACCGGAAACAAGATCTTGCGTATTCTCAAAGCTCACGGTTTGTGTTTTTAACCCTTGGATCTTTATCTCTTTATCCTATATTATGTAGAAGGAAGCTTAGAGAGTTTCATATTGTTGTTGTCGTCTTTAATAGGTCTTGCTCCGGAGATTCCTGAGGATCTGTACCATTTGATCAAGAAAGCAGTTGCTATCCGCAAGCATTTGGAGAGGAACAGGAAAGACAAGGATTCCAAGTTTAGGTTGATTCTTGTTGAGAGTAGGATCCACCGTCTTGCTCGTTATTACAAGAAGACCAAGAAGCTTCCTCCTGTCTGGAAGTAGTAAGTGGCCACTATCCCTACTTATTTTGGAAAATGTGTTCTTTCTTATCTTCTAATATATCTCGTGATTGTGCTCTTTTTTTGCAGCGAGTCTACTACTGCCTCTACTCTTGTGGCCTAGAGGAGTTACTTGAAAGTGTTCAAGAAAGACTTTGGTTTCTATTTGCGTATCAGTGGACTTAATTACTCTGTTTGCTTTAGTGTTTTTGTTGGTTAAATGAGACAATGATGGTTTTGATAAATTTTCAATGAACAAACGTTTCTAAAGTATACAAAAGGCTTTTCATCAGTTGCTTCGTATCTGTAAAGCAACAGAACCTTGTCATGTGTCATTGATGAGATTTGAAGCTTTATCAGATAACAAAGTTAAGAATATATAAACGTATACAAGAAAATCAGGCCATGACTCAGCTCTTTCATGCACTATACCATTGATTAATTCAAAACCACTCACCTTGTTGTCTGAAATGTAGAATCCAATTCAAACTACAGAAACATCAAAAATGTTACAAACTTAGGAGGACATAGCAATATTGTCAATACAAGGAATTGAGTTTCTGCTAGACATTAACAACCCTTCTCAACTAATTTGGTTATCAATCACTGTGGTTCGGTTTGGGCTTCACAAGAATCTCATTAAACCAAGACATTTTAATTGAACCGGCCGGTTCGTTATTCAAGTCAATGAATTATAAACTTTTTACAAAATTCACATCTTTTTTTTCACTCTTGTGTATCGAGTTTTGATGATGGATTCGTCTCTGAATCCAAACAAGCATCTCAAAGAACAGTAAAGCTTCCCTCTTTCTTTCTTCCTCTCGTTGTCTCGATGATCCTTATTACTCCCTACTGTTTGATTTGTAGTTCTTACTTATTTGCAGATTCGTAAGCAATCTAGATGGATCATCCATTCTTGAAATCGCAGCATTATTGACCATTGTCCCTGTAAGTTTCTTTCTTATGCACATTTCTTCGATTAGCTCAAATAATAATAATAACGTTTATTTGTCTTTCAGCTATTGGTTCTTATTCGATACTCCATTAGCTCTCACTGTAAGAATCATTGCTAAAACTCTCTGCTTTGCCAAGACCAATTAAAGTCTTCTCCTTTAGTGCTTTTTTTGTTGGATTAGTCTAAGTTTGTTTCATGTTTGTGTTATAGATAACAATGATAAATCCGTTTCATCCAAGAAAAACGACGATGAGATTGTTGTTTCCAGAACTTGGAAGGCTTACACTTATGCTTTATCATTGGACTTCATCTTCATTGTCTTCCCCATGCTCTTGTTCTTCACCGTATGCCTCTTAAATCCTTCCTTTTTTTTTTATTGTCTTATGATCATTGAAACTGATTAATAATTACTATTATTGTAGGTTCTATCAGAATGGGTTTATCTTGGAGTAGTTTTGTTATCTCTGCTGTTGCTTGTTCTTTCTGTGACTGCGAAAAGGTAGAGACTTTCTTGTATCTTCAAAAACAATACTGTTGTAGCTATACTAAAACTATATGAGTACAGATCTTCTTCAGGGTTGCAGAGAGGACAGTCTCTCTCGTTTAGAGCTAATGTATCTTCTTATAGAGTTGCTCTGGTATACTACACTACCTTTTTGATTTTAATTTAAAACCCGCTTTCGCTTTTTTCTTTTTAATCTTGCATTTACTCTAAAGGGTTTTCTCCGTTGTTGCAGATGCTTATTACATGCTTGTGTATCTTGGCTGTTGACTTCACTATCTTTCCGAGGAGGTACGCTAAGACAGAGACTTACGGTACTAGCTTGGTATGTTTTGGGAATATTTGTCTTCCTTTAGTTACTACTTTAGAGTTTAGACTCTAAACTTGTGATTAGTAACTGTATATTACATCTTGAAATGAAAGCAGATGGATCTTGGGGTTGGCTCGTTTGTGTTGGCTAATGCTATAGTTTCTCGGCAAGCTAGAGACGTCTCATCAGGGTGAGTGATTCTCCTTACTTTGTTAGTGGTTCAGCTTTTATGTAAACTCAGTCCAACTTTTTTTTTTACGTTTATTGCTTCAGAAACTGGGTTAGTGGACTAAAGGCAACTGCTCCTCTGCTATTACTTGGTTTTATTCGTTTAGTCACCACTTCAGGTGTGGATTATCAGGTAAAAGAAAACTCTGCTCCTTTATGTGTAGCGCTTTACAATCTCTAACTACTGTTGTTCTTCACTGTATACAAAGGTCCACATTACGGAGTATGGACAACACTGGAACTTCTTCTTCACACTTGCAGCCATATCAATTCTCACATCATTTGTTAACATACCAGCCAAGTACTGTGGAGTCCTAGGTTTCACTGTTCTTGCAGGTGCATTCCACTTTTTTACTTTAGTTACAAGATAATGAAACCTAACTATCTTCAACCTGCTCTGTTCTCAGGGTATCAAACCTGGTTGGTGAGTGGACTGAACACTTATCTACTTTCTGACGAAAGAGGTGATAGCATTATCAGCAAGAACAAGGAAGGAGTCTATAGCACCCTGGGTAAGGATGTTTACTACTACTACTCGCTTTTGATATTGTGGCGTCTAACTCTCTTCTGGCTCAGGTTATTGGGGCATGTACCTTCTCGGAGTTCACTTAGGTTACCGTCTCTTCTACGCAAAAAATTCCAATACTCGAAGCACCACGAGCTCAATCGCTAGAGTCTTTCTCGTTTCTCTTATTTTATGGTAGAAAACAAGTGGTTATAGAACATGCTATCTCATTATTATAGTATCAACTCACTTATGAGCATCTTTTTATGTATGCCTCAGGATTGTGACTTTACTTGTTGACAACTATGTTGAGAGGATTTCCCGTAGAACGGTAATGATACTCACTTAAAGCTCAAAAGCAACAATATTGGTTGATAATCATTTTTTATCTTGTGCAGTGCAACATGCCTTATGTTACTTGGGTGCTCGCTCAAGATCTTCAGGTCTCTTTGAGTTCAATGTTAAAGGTGAAGATTTGTCTTTTTAGATTAGAGGTTTGAGACTTTTTGTTGTTGTTTTTTTCAGGCGTTGGGTATATTCATGCTTTCTAGTTATATACCAATGAACAAACTCTCATCACTTGAAGAAGCAATTGACCAAAATCTTTTGGCAACCTTTCTTCTTGTAAGTCTCTTCTTAATCAAATTTGATTTCTCACAAAGTCTTTTACAGTATCTTGATTCTCTGTGAACCCCTTTTTTTTTGTACAGGCAAATGTTTTTACAGGAGTGGTGAACATGTCTGTAGACACCATATTTGCTTCTCCACTATCTTCCCTTGTGATATTAACAGCTTATGCCTTTGCTTTATCTTCTATCATCGGAACCATTCATTTCTCCGGTTTCCGGTTAAAGTTCTGGTAGGATAGGATACTACAACATGTTTGTAAACTCTTTTAGTGACCATGTAACTGATTCAGACCTGCTTGTCTTGCTTATGAAAAGAAGCGCTTTTTTTGGTCCAACAGAGTCTTGTGAAGCCTGAATCTTTTCTTCTATATGATAACTTTGACTGTATCTCATGTTTCACTGTTCGTTGACACAGCAAGTAAACGTAATGTAGCTTAGAATAATATCATAAAAAGTCCCAACTAAACACAGTCTTGGTGAAGTCTGAATCTTTCTTTCTTCCATATGAAAACTTTTTTACCGTATCTGATGTGTTATTTCAACGTCACACTGTTTGTTAACATTACAAGGAAATGTCACGTAGTTTGGATCTCATAGCCGAAAAAGCCCAACTTGAGCCCACACATCGTAATTAGCTTGATCGTATCACTCCTCTCCGCCGATCCGAAATTTGATTTCGTTTGATCGGAGTTTTTGTTTATACGGTTCCAATGGTTTCCCGGAGAGATTACCGGAGCTTAAGATCTTGTACAGGATGGCGTCGGCTTCTATTACTTATCCCCGTGCTCGTTGTTCTTCCTCACCTCTCTTCACTTGTTGATTTTTCTTCAGCTAGAGCTAAGAACGAAGCGCCAAGCACTCGTAGCAAGAAGAAACTAGATCACCTTGTCCTCGGTCCTGTTGCTGGAGTAGGCTTTCCCGATAGATTACATTGCCAAGGTTAGTTCGCAGATAACCTCTTATGGCACAGATTTTAATCGCAATCTTTTGAATTGTGTTTTAAGGAAAGGCACAGATCTGAGCAATGTTGTGTCATTAACTTTAGGGCAAGAACCAAATCATTGTCTCAGAAAGTTGTCTTTATAGCCAGTTGAATCATTACAATTAGCTTGTCTTGTTGCTTAACTGATAAATTACACCATTTTTAGAAACTGCAACTTGATTAAAGCTCAATCCGGCATTTTAATCATGTAAGTTAGGGAATAGTTAGACAGAGAGGCTGTTGTGTTGAGGAGAACACAGATCTGAGAAAATGTTGTGTCATGAAACTTAGGGCAAGAACACAGATCCTCGTCTCAAGGAGTTTTTGTCTTTATTACCATGTACATCACTACACTTAGCTTGTTCTGTTTCTTGAGCAGATATTATACCATTTTAGGAACTGCAACTTTTGATACATTTTTCTATGTTTGTTTAGGTACGAAGGCTCTAAACAAGACACACACTAGAACTTCTCATTATGTGTCTAGTGCTGCTGGAAATGGAGTTTCTTTTGTCACAGTGTTTACTGTTTATAATAACACATCTCTCGGTGATTTGAGATCCTCTAGTGTGGTTTCTGTTGTTGGGAATGTTACTTACACCAAGCCAGAGAGGTCAATGGCTGTTCTAAACGCATTCGCCTACTTCATTCACGTGAGTACTTGTCAATTTTTGGTGTTGTTTCTTAGCTACTGCGTCTGACATCCACTGAGATTTATGTTTTTGTTTATGTAGGTGAGTATGCCCAAGAGCAACGTTGTCATATTGACTGATCCAGCTTCTCAGCTTTCTACTCAAGCAAGCAATGTGATGGTAGAGCCTATTCCGGGTGATTATTCACGTGGTAACCTGATGCTTCAAAGGATCATGTCTTACATTGTAAGAGCAATATCACACTAATACCTTAGGTTAGGATACACACATTTGTTGTTCTTGCCTATCTATCTATTTGTTTGGCATCCATTTCCTTTTTTTTGTATCTGAATTATTGAAAGAATATGAATGCTTACTGGATCGTGTTTTTTCTTTGGTTAAAATTTGGCTCTGCAGACCTTTCTTGAGATGAAGCTTGAGAAGAATGATGGTGGGATGAACCACTATATCTTCACTGATTCTGATATAGCTGTGGTTGATAACATCGATACTATATTTGACAAGCATCCAGACTTCCATATAGCTCTCACATTCAGGAACAATAAAGATCAACCTCTGAACTCAGGATTCATAGCTGTGAGAGGCACACGTGAAGGCATCCTAAGGTTCGCTTTTCTCTCCTCATTAATCATAATCTCTTACAGTTTAAAAGTAACACTTGTCTCTTTGGAATCAGTATCTGAATATTCTGGATTGATAGCAAAAGCTGATTGTTTCTTTACTAAAACTAATATGTGTATTTGATGACCTTGTCTTATGCAGGGCTAAAGTTTTTCTTCAACAAGTTTTACAAGCTTACAAAACCAAATACATGAAGGCATCGCGTATGCTTGGTGATCAATTAGCTCTAGTATGGGTTGTCAAATCTCATCCTTCATTTGACGCAAAGCGATTCACAAAGCCACAAGCTTTCACACAAGAAATAGCTGGAGCTTCAGTACTATTCTTACCATGTGCTCTATACAACTGGACACCTCCTGAAGGTGCTGGTCAGTTTCATGGCATGCCATTAGATGTCAAGGTACACTCTCACAACCCCCAAAAAAACATCATAAATCTATTCACCACATTCTCATTAATCTATATATATATATAAAAACGCAGATTGTTCACTTCAAAGGATCAAGGAAACGCTTAATGCTAGAAGCCTGGAACTTCCACAAATCTACTTCGAACATTCCAGATATGTTGTGTCTTGTTCTAGGTAGTGGAAGAACTAAATACGATTTCTAAAACTTGTTGACAATGACTACTTGTTTAATATCTATAGGAGAACAGTCACCTTTAAGTGCTGAAGAAGTAACATTGTTTTATTTGAAGATGAATCAAATTTTACAACAGTTACGTACACGACAAGTAACATAAAATAAATTAAATATAATTACTCAAAAACACAAAAAAAAAACATTAAAAATCATCTCGCGGCGGCTTTCTTCTCGCCGGCGTAATAACTCAGGTACCATCTCACAAACTTCTTCAACCCAGTCTGCAAATCCGTCGTCGGTTTATACCCAAACTCACGTTGCGCTAAGCTTATATTAGCATGAGTGAACGGAACGTCACCGTTTCTCGGCATCTTGATCACATTCCTCTTGGCCTTCACCTTCAGCTGCCTCTCCAGTATACTCACCAGATCGGAAACCGGCACCGGCGACGTGTTCCCGAGGTTAAACACTCTCAACTGCGCCGGACCTCTCTTCTTCCCACCGCTTCCTGTACTCTTCTCCGCCGTGTCAAGCGCCCCTAAACATCCTTTCACTATGTCGTCTATGTAAGTGAAGTCTCTAGCCACCGTGCCGTGGTTAGCCGACTCGAAGATCGATATTGACTTCCCTTTGAGTATGTCTTTAGTGAAGAAGAAGTAAGCCATGTCTGGTCTTCCCCATGGTCCGTACACGGTGAAGAACCTTAGTCCTGTAAGGGACAAACCGTAGATATGGTTGTAAGTGTGAGCTATCTCTTCACCAGCCTTTTTAGTCGCGGCGTAGAGGCTCGCAGGTTGGTCTGTTCTGTCTTTCTCGGAGAAGGGTACTTTCGTGTTGAGTCCATAGACGGAGCTAGAGGAAGCCCAGACGATAGCTGGTTGAGGGTTAGCCGCTTTGCAGACCTCAAGAAGGTTGACTAAGCCAGCGATGTTGCTGTGAACGTATGAGCTAGGGTTCTCCATTGCGTATCTAACTCCGGCTTGTGCGGCTAAGTGCATGACGTGAGTGAAGGTAACGATCTTGAAGAGCTTACGGAGGAGTTCCACGTCGTTTATGTCACCTTCCACGATGAATACGCCGCTTCTCTCTAGCAAAGCTTGCCTCGCACGTTTCAGAGAAGGGTCGTAGTAGTCGTTGAAGTTGTCTAGGCCTATGACGCCGTCTCCGCGGCGTTTTAACGCCGAGGAGACGTGTGTGCCGACGAAACCGGCTGCGCCGGTTACTAGGACGGTGACTGAGGTTCGTGTTCGAGCTGAGGCTCGGATGCGTTTCTCCCAAGCGGCTCCTCCGTAGGTGAAGGTGCGGAGGGAGCGGCGGGAGGGGTCGGATTGGGAGGAGTTGACGGAGGGTGGAGATCGGAGGAAGAGGAGGGAGATGAGGCAGAGGAGGAAGAAGGAGATGAATGCGAACTTGGTGAGAGATGGTTGGAACCTGAGACGGTTGAAGTAAGAGGATTTGTCTATCTTGAACTTGCCTGGGCTTGATGGTATGTCGTCAAGACGAGACATCTTTGAACAACTTTCTTGTTGTTGTTGTCTGTTTTAGTTTTTATGACAGCTTCTTGGAGTCTTCAGGTTTCTTGAAAGGGGTTTAATTAAAGAAGCTTATAGTCATTTATTTAATAATTATATTTGAGGATCAAAGATTGGTTACAGGGTGTGATAAAAGAGTGTTGAATTATAAATCTGAACATGGGGGATTGAAAGATTTAGAGATCCAGATCAAGGACAAGAAGAAGAAAGAGGTAGAGAGTCTTTTTTTTTTTTGTAAAATAATTGATTGACAATCAAATTTAACTGCAGAAGTTTTTTATTCTGGAAAAGATTTGTTGTCACGGATTCAATGGTGTTGATTGGTGTGAAATAATATTCCAAGATTTTAGGGAAGCCTCACATCACATCTATTTGTGAGTTTTGCTCTAAATAATTTACTATATATTCCCAAGAAATGAGCCTAACATAAACTTCCTATGTATAGCAAAATAAGGTTGATGTTAAATCATGGTTTAGTCTTTTACTGAAACCAACTTTTTAAAAAAAATTGTTTAAACACAAAAAGGTTATGTAATCATACGATGTTTATTTTTATAAAGAAAATAATTGCAATAGGGCAAAAGGAAAAAAAAAAAGGAGCAAGTGAATGAATGCTATAATGACACTCAAAGACCCCATGTGAAGAGCTTTGATTACATAAGACAAGAACATGTCCACTCTTTTCCCTTTATGAATTGGCAGAACATGTCCCCATGCCTTTGTCCCTCCTTCAGATGTACCCTACTCTTAGATATACTCTTTTGTCTCCATACTCTCATATGCAGTTAAAACTCCCAGACAAAATACAAGAAACAAGAGTAAGACAGTCAAGCCCTTTTGTTCCTAGTTTTAAAAGTGTCCAAATATGTGAATAAGGATCTAATCTTTCAAGCTTGGGGTTAAACTACAGAGTCAAACCAGTGCAGTAGCCAGAATCAGAATTCTATTAAGACTAAAAAACGGATTCAAAGATTGCAAATCACTCAGTTTAGGATACAAGCAAACAATCTTAATACTCTTTGTTGTAGTAAATATTACAGTGGCAACAGAGGAAACTGAACTCAGTTGGATCAAAAGAAAAGACAAATGGGCTTTAAGGTTCTTTTAGTGCTTTGTGATACTTTCAAGGACTTGGAAGTAGTCAGGGAAAGTTTTCCTGGTGCAACCAGGATCCTTGATGGTCACTGGAACATCAGCACAAGCTGCAAGAGAGAATGCCATTGCCATTCTATGATCATCATAGGTATCAATCTCCGCTGGTGTCAGCTTTGCTGGTGGAGTTATCACGCAATAATCTGAACCCTCTTCCACTGTAGCTCCAAGCTGAACACAAAAACCACAATAATTTATGAAAAAATTAACTTGGATTAACCATTATAACCAGAGAGAAAGAGAGCAAGAGAGTCTTACCTTTCTAAGCTCTGTGCAAATGGCAATCATCCTTTCTGTCTCCTTTACTCTCCAGCTAGCCACTACATTAAACAAATTGAATTTACTGACCATGAATCTAGAGAAGCCCTATGTCAAAAGAGGAGTGTTTACTTACCATCTCTAATGGTGGTTGGACCATCTGCAAAGAGAGCAACAACAGCAAGAGTCATGGCAACATCAGGCATTTTGTTCATGTTGACATCAACAGCGCGCAAGTGTCTCATTCCAAAAGCATCTCTAGATGGTCCAGTCACAGTCACACTGTTCTCTGTCCATGACACTTTACATCCCATTTTCTCAAGAACCTCAGCAAACTTCACATCTCCCTTTGAGATTCATCACACACGAAAAAAAAGCTTAGATTCTTCATATATTACACACAACTAGCCAAAGAAGAAATTTTGAGCTAATCAAATTTCATTATAAATTAGTATTACCTGCAGGCTGGTTGTTCCACAACCTTCAACAGTGACAGTTTCACCAGTAATGGCAGCACCAGCCAAGAAATAACTAGCACTAGAAGCATCACCTTCTACATAAGCATTACCAGGCGACCTGAATCCAATTTTTCTATTTGATTAGTCATCCTTCTGTCAATCTAATTCTAAGAAAGGAAGAAGAAATAACTCTTACTTGTATTTCTGACCTCCCTTGACAAAGAAACGATCCCAGCTGTCACTATGTTCAGCACTAACACCAAAACGTTCCATCAACTTCAATGTCATTTCAACATATGGAACAGAAATCAGTTTATCAATGATCTCAATCTCAACGTCTCCAAGAGCTAAAGGAGCTGCCATGAGCAGAGCAGTCAAGTATTGACTACTGATTGATCCAGATAGCTTCACCTGAAAATGCGAAAACATGTCTAATGCGTCAATTAAGAAACTATACAAGAGCTAAGGCTGTGACGAACAAAGACTGCTGCAACTATATTCACATAGTAAATGTAAGAGATTACAAACTCACCTTTCCACCAGGAAGGCCACCATTAGCATTGACACGAACAGGAGGACAATTAGTTCCAAGAGTACACTCAACATCAGCACCAAGCTGCTTGAGACCAACAACCAAATCTCCTATAGGTCTCTCTCTCATTCTAGGCACCCCATCAAGCACATAACTGAAAACAAAACCAAACTAAAACGCATCAACACAAGACCGATTCTTAACATAGTCCACAAAAACTCCTTGACCTTACCTTGCGTTGCCACCTGCAGCAGTAACTGCAGCGGTAAGTGGACGCATGGCTGTTCCTGCATTCCCAAGGTACAACTCAATATCACCCTTAGAATCTAACGAAGCTGGGAATATCCCTCCACATCCTTCAACAACCGCACGGTTATTCTCACTGTCAATTTCCACACTAAGCCCCAACTTCTTCAACGCATCAAGCATGTAGTTAATGTCATCACTGTTCAACAAGTTGTCCACTACAGTAGTTCCCTATAATAAAAAATCCACATCAAAAGTGTGAACCTTTCTTCAATCTCAAGCCGTTAAAACACACAAACACTAAGCAAAAACAGAGAGAGAGAAAGAAGTAAACCTCAGATAGAGCGGCGAGAAGAAGAATCCGGTTGGATAGAGACTTGGATCCGGGTAGCTTGATAAGACCCGAGATTTCTCTAATGGGTTGAAGCACAATCTCCGAAGCTTTCTCCGCCGTGGAAACAGAGGCCTTTACCTTAACCGGACCATTCTTGTTTAATCCCCACGAAGAGATCAGAGAAGCTCGAGGCTGCTGCGTCTTGAGTGAGACAGAGAAAGGCGATTTGCGTTGGTTTGATTTGGAGAGATTGGAGATGGCAAATGGGTTCTGCTGCACGCCGTGGCAGATTCTGCTAGCTTGCGCCATTGGTGAAGAAAAGTTTTGATCTTTGAACTGAATTGACCTAAACCCACTATCTGGCTTGCTCAAAGTTATAAACTTTCGTACAAATATGAACGCTTTTTAGGGGGTTTGGTGAGAGAGGAGAGGAAGAAGGTAGCCATCAAAATCCTTCACCAACCCACCTCGACTATGAGCATTTTCCAATAGCCAATGATATTGTGGCACGTGTTAAGTATTTGTCCAAGTCAGCTATTACAGACAGCAAGTGGGGAAGTTTTGGTTTTGGTTAGGTGAAGATTTAAAGAGGGCTTAAGATTTGGTGGATTTTAACTGGGCCTGAAAGAAGTTATTGGGCCTGTTTAACAAAACCCCATGAACCACTGAATGATGAAACGTGAACCGGTGTCGATTGCGGTTTACTATTAAAATACCGGAGAGAAAACATAGATCAATATAAGAGGAGTAACCGGCCGGTATTATATTTCCTCTAATCGAAGACTAACCCTTCGGTTATTACCCGAACCACAGTTGCCTAACCAAACTGACCTGAAAAAGTCGGTTCAAAGTTCGATTCTGTTCGACAATTAAAATAAACTATTTTCAGTTCGATAGCCATCTTAACCGAAGTCCAAACTAAAATAACAGAAATAACCGAAATTAATTAAAATATTTTGAATTTTATTCTATTTAAACCAAAAATTTAATCGAACTAACCAAAAATCGAATCATTTTGAACTTTTTCGATTCACTTCGGTTAGATTTTGTCTGGGCCAAACTAACTGAATTTCGATCTAACCAAAGAAATCGAACCCACATGCATATCGAAAATAATGGTAACATGCTAGTCTGTAAAAATGAAACCGGACACGGTTTAGAATAAACAAATATGAAAACAAACCTATGGTTTAATAAACCCGATTCAGAAAAGCTTTTGTTGGACTCTGAGAGTGAACCCTAACTTACCGAGAAAGTCTCTCAATTCTCTCCGATGGACGAATCCAACAAGATCGTAGATTTCTCCGAGCGAGTGACATACGTGGAACAGGACGGAGGCGAAGAAGGCATCTTCTGGGACGTGGAAGATTTCCCATTCCCCGTTAACTCCACACCCGACGAGATCTACAAAAAAATCGTATCATGTCTGAAAGAAATGGGCTCTGAACCGTTTCACAAAAAAAAAAAAAAGGGCTCTGAACCAGGTAGGACCACAGTCTGGGCCTACGTCGACGAGAACAAGAACGAGACTTGGGGGAAGAGAGGTGGTGAGTTTCTGAGTAAGAAGACGTGGGAGTCAAGAATCTATTTCCTCCCCGGAGGTGATGATAAGCCTTCGAGACGTAATAGGATGTTGATTGATATTCTTTTGTGGGAATTGGACCATCCTGCTCCAGCGAGTTTGATCGTGGTTTCGGATCGTGTTAGAGGTGATAAAGAGTTCTTTGGTAGGGTTAGATCTCTTACTGTGGATATTTATGATGTTGAGGTGATAGCTCCTCCTACTCGGCCCGTTGTACCGGAAAGTTTTCTGAGTGGCCGAGATTGTTGTTAGCGAGAGCATACGCTTTGGATCAAAGGGATGAAGCTAGTCCTAGTCATAGAGAGAATAAAAGGCTTAAAGGGGTTGTAGCCGAAGACAGTTGGGGTCTTGAGATTAGACCTACTCATTTGGATTAACTTGTGCTCTGGATGTGCATGTTTTGCTTAATAAGATTGCAGATGAGATCTATTTTCCTCAATTCTAGTGTTGATTTTTGTTACTCTTTTATTAATGGTTTTGATTTTATTTTTTTTGAGAAAATTCTAGTGTTTTTTAGTTACTTGTGACGCAATCTTTATAAGCTATTTTGTGTGTGCTTGTTGTTAAAGAGAGTCTGCTCGGATGATTGAAAACATATTCCTTTCTCTCTGTATCTCCTTCACCTCCGTCTCAGAGCTTGATGTTTCGTTTTCTTCTACTTACGTGACGTACAAGCTGATTAAAAACATTATCAAACGCGTAGCTTCTTCTGTCTGAATAGTGTTAGACACAGACACAACAAGCTAATCCAGGTAATCTCTTTTGTGCTCGACCTGTTCAAATCACCGACCTGATTCGAACAATTAGTGAAATTTTAGGAAAGCAAGTAGAAAGGATATTTAGGGTTTGATGTAGAAAGATCTTTTAGGGGTTTGATGCACTTCAAGATCTAGGCAGATTAGTTGGGTTTTGTCTGAGATTCTGAGATTGAAAAAGGACCATTCTTTGTAGGAGAAACCTTGTGGGTTTTTGTCTGAAACAGAGAGATTCAGTTTTCGTTTGGTGGTTTAATCAAGTATGCAACAAAGTGGGTTGAAAGAAACTCAACTCAACAAAAAGACATGGGATCCATTAGATGACACTGAGACCTTCTTTCGCCAGTTTCTTGCTTTCAAAGACATGGATGCACTAGATGCCCTAAGGGCATGCCCATTAGAGGATTATGAGTGGTTTATTGCACAAAAACATAGGTGAATTGATTAAAATAATAGACCCAGATGTGATACTGACTCCTGGAAGCTCTTGGTAGTGAACCTGTATCACAACTTTTTCGCGGGCCCCACGCCACGTGGCGGCCCGCGATTGGTCCACTTAATTTTTTTTTTTTTTTTTTAAGAAAAGTCAGACCAAAAAAAAAAAAAAC